TGTGTTCCTCTTTCTGTATTTCTTCTTCTTTTTAAAGCATTCCCTTTATTATTTCTTGCACTGCTGGCTTGGTGGAGATGTACTCTTTTACCCTTCTTTTGTCTGGGAAGCTCTTTATTTAGCCTTCCATTTTAAAGAGCCTTGCTAGATGGATATAGTCTTGGTTGCAGGTCCTTACTTTTCATTACTTGGTATATTTCTTGCCAATCTCTTTTGGCTTATAGTGTTTCTGTTGAGAAATCAGCTCATAGCCTTATTGGAGCGCCCTTGTGTGTTACTAGCTGTTTCTCCCTTGCTGCCTTTAAGGTTCTCTGTCTTTAAATTTTGCCACTTCGATTGTAATGTGTCTTGGAGTGGGTCTCTTTGGGTTCAGCTTGATTGGGACCCTATGTGCTACCTGGATTTGCATGCCATTTCTCCTCACCAAGTTACGGAAGTTTTCTGTTGTTATTTTTTCAAACATGTTTTCTATTCCTTAGTCCTTTTCTTCACCTTCTGTTAGCCCTCTGATGCAAATATTGTTACATTTCATGTTGTCCCAAAGTTCCCTTAAACTATCTTCATTCTTTTTTTCATTTTGTTGCCCTGACTGGGTATGTTTTTCTTCCTTGTCTTCCAACTTTCTGATTCAATCTTCTGCTTTGTCTAGCGTTTTTAATTCCCTCTAGTGTTCATTTCAGGTATTGCATTCTTCGTTTCCATCTGGTTCCTATTCAAGGTTTTGATGTCCTTTTTCATGCTAATGTAGGTACCACTAAGTTCCTTGAGCATCTTTATAACCATTACTTACCACTGTAAAAATCCCATAGGCACTCCCCCAAAACTCTCCCCCGTGCCTCCCACTCCAGACTTTCCTGACACGACTCCAGTCTGCGCCACCCTACCTTCTTTGGGGTTCACGGTGAGTAGCCGCAAACACACAACCTGTGCTTTGCCCCTTTAAAGAAAAAAAAAAAAAGATGATGAGTTTATCTCCAGCCATTTTCATCTTTCTCTCCCCAGAGCAGAGAGCTTCCATGGTACAGACTCCTTGATCTCCTGATCTGGGTGCTCTAGGAATGTCCTTTCCTGGGTTATGTGGACTCTTCTGTTTTATTTGGGACCTGATTTTTCATCGGTCCATTCGTTAGCTGGAACTTTCCCTGTTTTGGCTAAGGGGCTCAACTCCCACGCCTCTGCCTTAAGAGGGCTTCTAGGTGTGGGTTGGATCCCCAGTCTGGGCACATGCAGGAGGCCACCTGTTGACTCTTTGTCACACCCATGCCTCTCCCCTCAACCCTCCAAATCAATAGAATATATCCTGTGTGCATCATCTTCTTTTTAAGTCTCTTACCATCCTGATGGGATGGGAGAGGGAAGGGAGGAGTCCAGAAGCAAAACTGTAACACTGGACAGTGGCAGGGCGCTCACACCGTTGCCTCCCGTGAGTCTCAGCTTCGGGCTACCACCATCGTCTCTGCCACCAGCACTGTCCCCAACGCGTCTCTCTGTCTCTGGCACTCCCGGCTCCTCAGCGGATCTACAGCCTCCTCAGTCAGACTGTCCTCTTCGCCGTTCCAGTGGCACCTGGGGCCAGGGAGGCTACAGCCCCCCTCCATGGCAAGGACCGGTCCCCCAGACCACCCTGGCTCCCGGTGGCGGGCGGGGGCGCGGCCTGGCCCGGCAGGCGCGGAAATCACAGAGGCAAGTCTGGGCACTGAGGCACAGTCAGTCTAGCAGCTTCTTCGTGAGGAGGATATTGCAAATTCCACAATATGGCTGCTGCTCCAAATCCGTGAGCCAGAAGAGCAGGGCTGAGTGGTGGTTGTGGTGGCAGTGGCAGCAGCTCCGCCAGAGCCTGGGCTGCCCACCCCCAAGTGCTCTTGTAGGCGGACAGGCCATTGCACATTTGCACACACACCCTCACAGTCCATGCACACAGTCACACATGCTCTGACTCACACTCAGCTGGATTTTCGAGGTGATTGCCCTGTGGTTTAGCTGCAAGACTGGCCTGGGGCTGGGAGCAAGTGGATGGAGCTTCCAGCTCCTCTGCAGCCATCATGGAACCCTAAAAGCACATGGTTCTTAAGAGTCATTCTTCAGTAAAATTAAATTGCACTGGAAAATGGCTCTCAGCCAAACAAGAAAAGGTTTAAAAGGTGAAACTGGGTGTTAATATAGGGTAAATACACCCATTTAATTTCACTCCCACCCGAACTCCACTAAATTTTTAGTAAAGGGATATAAAGATAAGTTGGAAAAATGAGAGGAGATGGCAATAAGACTGGAAGCTGCAGAACAGTTCAATGTGACTTAGCACACCAGAAAAGCTCAATTCATATTGCATCATTTGCAAGGCACTGAAAGAAGGCCATTGGAACTGGACATGAAAAATGAAGAGGATTAAGTGAAAGCTATTTAAGAAACACAAGTGCCTGTACCCCCTCACTCCCGCATAAGACTGGAGGTTTATTTTTGGACAATATAGTACTAGTCTCTGGACTGGGGTGCTTTTGGTCATACTAAGTTCATGAGAACCACAGTGAAAATTAGTGAATCTGAATATACGTAACACTGAACACAAAGCCCCCATTCCTCTTCCACTTTTTAATGTTGAATAGGCAAATCCTCAGAAGAATGGAAGACTTCTCTTCCAACCTTGAGTTGGGGAATCTGACTAGCCCAAGAGGAAAGATCTAAGATTGACATCCCAGGGATGGGCCCACTCAGATCGCCCTCCGTGAAGCTGTTGATGTGTTGCACCATGTATGCAGACCTTCTAAAATGCATTTTTGGTCTTTCACTTCTAAGTGTAAAGGTTTCCCAGTCTTTGGAGGAAAGCTCAGAAATGATGCATCAAAGAAAGGCAAGCAGAAAGAGAGTAACTTGGAGGAAAACAACAGAAAACTGAAAGCTAACATTTATGAATTCAAAGGAAATTGTTTTGCTACTTTGCTTATGTGAATTAGCTCATAAACTAATAAAAAAGAGGATTATAAAAGTTGTAACATGCATATTGATTCCTATGTGATTTATGCACTTCAGCAAGAAATAATCTTCACTTACTGCTTACACTCAGGGCTCCTTCCCTGGAGATGCAGACCCCATATTATGCAACTGATTGGTGACAGACTGAATCACCTACCCTGACCCCTAAGTGGCAGCCTAGTGGTTAGGGAGAGCTCTACTTCCATGTGTGCCCCACCATCTCCCAACCATACTCAGCATTTTAAAGGTATTACTAAGATATAATCGACATGAATAAACTACACTTAAACTATAAATACTATTTGATAAATCTGGCATATGCATACACTTACAAACCCACCACCACAATCATGATAAACACACATCATCCCTGAAGATTTCCTCCTGTTTCTTTTGATCCTTTCCTCATCTCCAGCCTGACTCCCATTCTCAGGCTACTCTATTAGTTTTGAGCATTTTAAACATCTCTGTGAGTCTACAGCTAGGCTCAGAGCAATCCAAGTGATCCACATTAGCTCTCCAGGTAACAATTTCTGTTTATTTGTTGTTCAGTTGCATAGATTTGAGTGGTCTGTCCCAAACAGATTTCCCCCGCAAGGCCTCTTATTTTTAATGTGTTTTTGCAAGATGAAAGATTTTTCTGGAATATGTAGTCTCAAAGTACTTCCCACAAATATTTCAAAGGGAAAAAAAAGAGTAACTTTACAGCAGAGAATCCAAACACCACCTTAATGAAGTGATCAAAATTAACATCAACCGTAACAGAACAAATTGGAATTGTGTCCACCTGATAGAATGCAGCAAAATGAACAATCATGTTTGTATTATTTTTGCCCAGACTACACAACCTGAATCTAGCCATAAGCTAACATCAAAATAAATGGGCAATGTATCATTTGTATTTGATCCTTTTGCTATAATATAAAGGGCATCATTAAGACAATTACAAGAACATGAAGAGGTTGTGGATTAAACAGGACTACTGTAGCAATGTTAACTTCTCATGCTGATGGTTTTATTGTTCTGTAGGAAAATGTCCACGTTCATAGAAACTACACTCTAAAGCTGTACTATCCAGTGTAGTAGCAACTAAGTCATGGGTACCTATAAGCACTTAAAATGTAGCCTTGCATGTCGCAATTGAAATAGTATTTTAAATATAAAAAATTAAAATTTATCTTTTAATTGGACTGCTAGAACATGTAAAATCACATAGGTGGCTCATATGTTTCTACTGGATGGATGTGCAAAGTGTTCAGGTGAATCAGAGAGCATGGTAGCAACTTCTCAAATAGTTCAGTAAAAAAAATACTAGTAGTATACTGCAACTTTTCTGCAAGATTGAAATTATTTCAAAAGAAAAATTATGTTAATGAGGAACAAAGTATAAAAACATTTTCATAGGTCATTGGAAAAATGGAAATTAAAGTGAATTTTAAAGGTTATAAGTGACATTAACATTTACTTTGGGCCTGCTAATGATGTTAGGAATTCTATGATTTAATCACCATAACTGTAACAAGTATTGTGAATTATTTTCTGTATGTAGTGGGTCATGGTGTATTTAAGGAGCTGTCTGCCATGCAGCACTAACGAATTACACATAAGGAAGTATAACCTATCCCACTGAACGTTGCCTGCTCATGTAACCCCTGTGGGTTGTTCACTTGGCCTCTTTACCACCCATCTTGCCCACATGCCATGAATTGTGAGCCTGCTTGACTGTTTCTCCTGCTCTTTAGCTTTCTTAGGCTAGCACCCTTCTAGATTTGACCAGGCAGAATACATAGTCTCACTTTTGACAAGGAAATTTTCTTATCATATCTCCCTCAGGAGATGTTAGTTCCGTGAGAGCAGGTATCTTATCTGTCGAGTGTTCACAGCTTTATCCCAATGCCTGGCACATAAAAGTGCTCAAAATATTAATGGGATAAAAAAAGGTTAGGATTTCCAAAATGTAAAATCTTTTTTTCTTTGCTTCTTTTTTGATTACAATAGTTATTTACAAAGAAACTTATCTTTTTTTTCAGGTATGGTGTGTATAAAAGTGGATATTTTCCATAATAAATGAGAATGGCCAATACTTTGAGAGGGGAAGTACTGAATCTTTATAAAAATGTAAGTAATTATGTTGCCAACTTCATGAATATTATTATATGGCATGGATTGTTTAGAAATACATAATCTTTCTTTTTTAAGCTGCTGTACCTTGGACGAGACTATCCAAAAGGAGCAGACTATTTTAAGAGGCATCTGAAGAATGCTTTCCTTAAAAACAAAGATGTGAAGGACCCAAAGAAGATCAAAGAACTTATTGGACGGGGCGAATTTGTAATGAAAGAGCTAGAAGCCTTATATTTCCTGAGAAAATACAGAGCTATGAAACAACGCTATTATTCAGATACCAAAGAAACTAACTGATCATTACTATAATTTGAAAACCAGTGCCATCTCTTTATGTGTAATATAAAACTAATTCTAACTTAAAATGGTAACATATACACATCCTGTAAAAAACAATGAAGGTGCCCTACTGAACTAAAAATAGGTTTCAATTCTATTCATACTGAGAGCTTATCAAGTAATCCCTTATGCAGAATTCTATACTGAAATAGAAACTTAGCTACATAATGTTGCCAACTACAAATTATAAATGAGCACCTAATTTCAAATGAAAAAAATAATGTATTTAAAAGTTTTGACTTAATAGGTTTTTGCCAATTATTCTTAGCCCATTTCTGTTTTACTGACAATGCCACCTAATTCACATGTAATTAGGCCAAATAATTTCTTGCACATTTATTCTCTAATCTTTGAAAGAGTACCTTATTTTTAACCTCATTTGGTACATTAGCAAGGTTCACTACAAATCAAATAGCACCTGGTCATGATTTTAGTGCAGTAGAGAAATAATAGTAATATATGAAGGTTACTTCTAATCTTAAAGTAGCCTGCCAGCAATTGGCATTTCATGTGTACCTATTTAATATTTACATCATTTCTGCTGAATCCCTTTGGGCCTTAAAACAAATCACCTGTTGTGTATCAATTAACTTCTTTGAATAAAAATAAAGTTATTTTTTTCTCATAAAGGCAGATCTGTTTTGTACCTACTTCTAAATGAGTTACTATGGCAATGGACTTAAACCTAAGATGGTCTTAAGCTTATGCAAACACTCAAACCTTTACATAATGTTCACAGCACTTTTCATAAATAAAGAATATTTCTAACTTACAAGCTGCCAAAAAAAAAAAGATTTACTAATATACTATAACGTCTGCGGCTTATAAACTACTCCCATTTCAATTGTGGGGCAAATGTGTTTCAAATTTCTATCAAGAAATACACACTAGCACGGTCATCGTAACTATTTTTATTACATTACAATAGTTAGGAGCAGTACAGTTCATGACAAAAATATTACAAATTTCAGATCACTTCACAGCACATACTCCTATAAACATTTAAAAGTTAATTTTAATGAAAAGAGTGGTCATTTTTAAATGTAATGTTTGATATGACCAACATTCCTAGGTCAGCGCAACCAAATGATGGAAAACAACTGGATCACACTGCGTATGTCCCACAAAAAAAGCACAATGTACAAAATGTGCATGTTTCAGTTTACACTATACAAAAATAGTTAAAATACATTCCAGGTAAACATGTTACATTAAGAAATAGTACTAGTAAGAAATTGGCACTGAAAGGAAAAATGCAAAAGTATTTTCAACATGAAAACACAAGACAGTGGAACTGGAAACTCTTGGATAAAACATTACATAACCCATTTAGCTCTATGGGGAGGGGGACCCTCTGTTAACTGACATGTCTGTCGGTAATAACTTTGTTTTCCCTAAATTCATCTAAATTACCTAGCATCATCCCAAACAGGCACTTAAAAACTATTAAACTAAAACAAGTATTACTCTAGTTATGACTGTGTTTTAAGAACTGATGTGAATGTAACTTTAGAAAGTAATTTTCATTTTCTGAAGGAATTTGAAGCTACCAGTAGTATGTGTTCACTTTATCAAAGCAGATTTCATGCTACCCAGTATTAACACAGAATTTATTAAATATAAATTCAGTTTTATAGTAACTGATAGGTTTTTAAAAATCATTAATACATAATGATCAAGAAATTACTACTTTTTGACAAATGTAAATGACAGTTTTTATTGCCTACAAAAAAACTGTGTACATGTTGTTTAGAAAAAAATGACTAGAAGAAAAAGTCACTGGAATACAAATGAGATGAATTTGTGCAAACTGCAACTTAACATGCCTTACACGATTTCTTTATAAATTAGGACAAAATTGTGCATTGGTGGCAAAGGTTTTGATAACCTATGAAAGTTAGGTTCTAAATTCCTATGCAGTGTGACTCAGTTAAAATAGAGCCTAGAATTCCTAACTGGGAATAGCCACTCGAATTATACTACATACTTCTGCTACATTCTTTCACGAACATGTTAATGCCTAAGACTATGCAATTTAGCACTTTTTTCAACCTCAACAAGGATTTTTATCTTTAAGGCTGTAATAATTAAATAATATTTATGTTACTTCTAGGATCATTTCTCCCTTTTTAAAATCTCTATGAAAACAAATCTTTTGTCAGATCATTTGAAATTCATATAATAAAGATAATTACCACTGCTTTTAAAAAAATTGTCCAGCCACGTTAAAAATTTAAGAGTTCCCAAAAATCCCCTCACTCAATTAATTATGCACTGCTATTCTTAAAGTATGGCCATTTCTTTCTCTTGGGTAGAAACAAGAGGAGGTTCTGTATGTCTTAACATCCCACCTAGGTGACATTCTATAAACCAGTAGTTTAGCAAAGCATTTCAGAAATCATAATGATTTCTACACAGAAATTTCCTTTTCTGTAAATTAGTCCAGGCATCTGTTTATTCATACTTATATAAACATAACTTTTAGAATTCAATAATTTTAAAAGTCTACTTCAATTACTTACACAAAGAGACCAACCAGAATATTACACACTTGGGAATTTTAATATTATTATGTCATACAACTTCATGTATACTGTAATTGTCCCAATAGAATCACAAAATTATGCCAAATAAAAAATATATAATCACGTTTCCTCCTTTAAAACAATGAAGTAAAAGTAATTTATATAAAGTAGCTTAATTAACCAGTTACAATGGAATCAAAACAAAACAATTTCTCCAAAAATGGAAAAAACCTTAAGAGGCCAACTCCCTCCCTTACAAAACTAAAATATGCATTATGTTATCTCTGGGTCATGTGCCAGATGCCTCATGAGGATATCAGACCACATGAGAATATAAGCACTACTTTAGGAAAGGGATTATGTCCCCTTTACCATAACATCCCCAGTGCCTTGTGTAGTGCCTGGCATTTAGTAGGCACTCAAGTATGTGGAATAAATGAACCATGCTAAAAAGTAAGCTGTGTGAATTAAATTTTAAAGTAGTTCTCATTGTAAGATTTTAGTTATTAAAACAATGCAATATGTCACTGTTACCAGGTCTAGTCCTAATTATAGATTATCTAAGGAATTCTTTCAGCACTATCTTTATTAAATTCGTCTTCCACTGGATAGGGTTCTGTCTGCTCATAGCAGGTATCAAAATTCCTACATAGTCACTAATGGAGCAGGCAGTGAACAGATAATATTCAAAGGATCAAGTTTAAACTGCTAAAGCTACCACCTCAAAATTAGCCATTAGGTCAAATCCCATTGTAGTATCTGTCAGCTTAGGTTGAACCTGAGGAAAAAAGATGTAGGGCATTTTGGTGTGACCTGATGGGAAGTCTTCAAGGAGGTACCTAAAGCAGCAACAAATCTTGAGTTTAGGGGAATTAGACATATTAAAATAAAAAGCATCAAGTCATGGGTCATATAGAAGGGTAGGCAGGCAAGATGACACCTATATGGGAGAAGGGTCTTAAGTACGGAGAAAGGATACTCAAAAACAAACTTCACCTCTTGTACAACTTTGCCTAAGACTGGCACTGAAGATGATAACACAGGTAAAAAGTTACAGATTGTGCTGAGATTGACAAATAGGCGTATTTTTATGTAAACTGAATGTAAATCACATAATTGTAATACTAGCTATAGCCTTGAGATGACTTATTTTAACAAGAAGAAATGGATAAGTGATTTGCCCAAAATCAAGAGTTTAAAAGACACCAGAATCTAATCACTTTCCTCCTAGTCCAGTGATTATTTTCATGTCAACATACCATCTCACTTCAAATATCTTAAAATAAGGAACATCTTAAATGCACTGAAATAATTATTTTGTTAATTTACCTATTTTTAAGCATCAGATATTCTTAAAATATGGACAAGACTTGGAAAATTTTATGAAATATCACTTTAGCTGTGTTAAGAGAACTAGCCAATACTAGAGACTGAGACTTTTTCCCTTCATTGTTTAAAAAAATTAAAGTCTTCCCCATCCTCACCCCAAAATCTCATTTAAAATACATATTTTTAAAAAAGTTCTGTGTTTTTTTTTTTAAAGTGATGTTCCTGATCTGTCAGTAGAACCACCACAGTGAGAATGTATCTTACTGAGCTAGCCAAATCTCTCCCAGTCCCCATTTTTGACCAACCAGTGCTTCACAACGCGGGAAGACCATAGGAATGCACTCCATACTGTGAAACTCTCAATGAAGGTCAAGGGTTCACACAGGGCTTAGCCTTCAACTTGGTCTCTTTAACACCTACTAAGCTAACTGGCTCAAATAATCTTTAATACCAGAATTAAAATTATTTTCAAAGACTGAAGTTCAAGAAAAGGTTTAAAGTTTTTCTAGGAAACAACAATCTGACACAGGGAGACTAAATTTAATTCCTATGAGAATTTTTATACATGTTAAAATGTTTTTAAATTATTACAAAAATTTAGTAGCATGTAAATACAGCCCACAATGGTTGCTATAATCTTCATTACATACCAGATCTCCATTAACAGGAAAAGCAATTCAGAGTATTATAGGAATTTATCTCACATGGAAAGTAAACGGCCTTTTAATAATTTTCCATTGCCCTGTCTTTTTTTCCATTTTTTTCCTTTTATAGAAAAAATATAATATTTTGGGGAACATGACTATAACAAATAGCAGTGGAAAGAGGAAGAAAACCTTTATGAACAGTGTAAATTTACATTCATTAAGGGTGGCTGAAACTAGAGGACATGATGCCTACAAGAAGAACCTACAGAAGCTCAGAAATTTGCGTTCCCTCAATGTTTCTGTAAAACCAATAGTGAAATCTCAACTGAAGTTATAATTAGTATATATATATGATTAGATAAAACAGAATAGGGAGGATTCAAAAGCTTCATTAATTTGTTTCACACCAAAGTTCACAACTGGTAAGAAAAATAGGAAGTAATCAACTGCATGCACCAAAAACCCCAAGAAATAAATCTCAGGTATTCAATTTCTTTTTCACAGGCATTGCTAGTTCAAAAACCAAAACTCAGGGAATACTGGCACTTCGAGGAAAAAAAGTTTCCACTGTCATTTTTAAAATAAGCATTCAAGATAAAAGCTAACAGTTTGGATGGAGCAGAAAAATTAGGTAATGCTAGAACAAATGCTAATAATTTAGTGTAATGTACAAAAATTACCACTTTTACTTAAGTATGCCTTAAGAAAAAAGTACAAATTGTATTTACATAATTATACACTTTGTCTTTGACTTCTTTTTCTTCTTTTTACCATCTTTGCTCATCTTTTCTTTATGTTTTCGAATTTCTCGAACTAATGTATAGAAGGCATCGTCAACACCCTGAAATATATAACAAGTATTAAAATGTGAATATATATGATGGTTTGAGGTGTACAGATAGTAGAAAAGATGTATCACCAATGGAAGCATCAATACTGAGAAAGAATAAGGACACTTTACATTTTTCTTTAGGCAAGTGAAGACATTTATGCCTTTTTAATGTCTTCTTCATGGATATTTTGTCAATATTATAAATAGGAAACACTAATTTTAACCAAAGGCAATGAAAAGTAATAGCACAGAATCTTACATAAGCTTCACAAATGACATTTTACCAGAACTTAATCTGCTACTAATTTTTACATATTGGCACACCCTGGTAACCAAAATCCATATGCATGAGTGCGAGTATGTATTTACACTTAATTATCCCTGAGTTTCTAGACATTAGATATTAAG